ACTGATAAAAAAATTGTTTATATTTATTATTAAAATACTTCTTTATTATAATTAATTATATTGTTCTAAAGAGCAGAACAGCTTGTATATATAAGAAATTACATTATTAATAGAATATTTTAGCAATGATTATTAATCTATATTGTTGTAATATGAATTTTAACATATCACATGACTTTTCATAGTTAATTTTCATTGAATAATTGATTTATAAATCATATCCATATTTATTTTATATTATCTATATTTATTTCATACTATTTTTATAATATTTTATTCTATTTCTATTTTATTTCATACTAATTCATATTATTTTCATACTATTTCATTCTATTTTCATACTATTTCATTCTATATTTATATTATTTCATTCTATTTTATTCTATTTTTATATTACCTCATTCTATATTATTTACCAAATTTGATTAATATTAATAGTGAAATTTATGTAACATTAGAGCAAGCGATATATAACCATCAAGCGAGTGAGCGATACGCAACTATCGAGTGAGCGATACGCAACTATCGAGCAAGCGCTTTTTGTAACCTTAATATCAATCAAAAATAGCTTTAATATTTGAAGGTCGAGTAACAATAATTTGTATAAATATAACATATATCTTAGCTTAAAAAAATAATATTTTCACATTTTTATTTAATCTTTTGGATAATAATCTTCTTTGTAATAATCTTCTCATAGATTATAATCTTCTTAATTAGAATCTTTTACCTTCTTACCTTTTAATTTCCTTTGACAAAATCTTCTTAGAAGTGAGTCATATTATAAGTCTTGAGTTGGAGATTTTCAGTCAAGCATTAATTATCTTTTTACTTTCTTATTTATATTCTTTATTATTTAAAAGATCTCTTGTTTGTAACAAGCGACATTATCTATAATAACATAATTAATCTCTCATTACTACCCTGTGAAGTTGATTAATATTATTTAGATATATAATAAAAAAAAAAGATAATTTTAATAAAAGTTAATCAATAAAAAAAAATTACTTAATAATTAAACTATTTGAATTAAAAGAAGATTTCTGAACTCATTCTAGCAATTCAACAAAATGAACATGTCATTACCTATCTTTATTAAATTAGTCTTTCCCAACTTTAATTATTTTAAATACATAAAAGTCTTTAATAACTCTCCCACTTAATTGAGACACGTAAAGAACACATGATTTATACTTGAAAGTTAATAAACCAACAGAAATGGTAACAATATTAATTCATAATAAATTTATTACACTCAAGCAAAAGATGTAAAACACTGCAAATTAGTTTATAGAATGAATTATGTCTCATTCTAAATAGAATAAATTAGTTCTAGATTAGTTCTAGATTAAGAAGATTGAGTAAAGAATAATTATTATAAAAATAGCATATATCTTAGCTAGAAAAAAAAAAGATAGAAAAGTAATAAAGTTTCTTTGCTTTTATCCTATAACTGACTTACTATGTGTTCGTCAGAAAAATTGATTACTTTGTGTTTTCTTTTCTTGATTAATAAAACAGATTCTTGGTAAATCTAAATTACTTCTTGGTGAAGTATTTGTTAAATTATTAAAGAACTTTGTGTTCTATCTTTCTTAAAAACCCTTTATAAATACTTCGAATTCTTGGTGAATTCATTTAGTTCTTGATGAACTTATTTTATTCTTATAAAAATACACTTTATTTTTAAAGATTCTTTGTGAATTTGTAAAATTCTTTGTGAATCTTTTAGCACTTTAGCTAACAAATAATAATATTAGAAGATTATTTTACACTTTGCTTATTTCTTCATACTTTTTTACATGATGCAGTCACTACCTACTGTTCTAGTAAAGACTTTCATTCGTAAAGACTACTAATGGTAACAAATTTTTGGTGCTTCCTCTGTGAAAGAAAAAGTGCTAATCTTTTAAAAAGCAAAAATAATCAAAGTAAATGCAAAAACAAGAAATTATAATTATTTTGGATCATAAAGCAAAACTGAACAAAACTTTTCAATATAAATATATCTATAATATCAACAATGACGGTAAAAAGATATTACAAAGTTATCAACAAATCTCAAAACTATTTAATCCATACAAAAAAAATATACACCAATTTGATAAAAGGAATACTCAAATCAAAGAATAATTCAAAGTGGATCCAACAAGACCAACAGCAATAGAAGTACAAAGACAATATCACTTACTTAGAGCTGCACTAATAACTAAAGAATTAAGCAATAACAATAGAGCTCGCTTATTTAATTCAGTAAAAACACTCTTCACTCAACAATTACTTGGACAAGATTATACACTAACAATAATACAATTAGCACAACTAATTTCTAACAATAGCAATAAAACTCCACTATAAATTATCTTCAGAATTTTAGTAAAGATATTATTAATTTTAATCAACAAAGAGATCAATATTTACAATAACAAATAGTCACAAATAAAAAAGCAGAAAGAACTCAAAGAAGACAACAAATTTAACAATTATTACAACAACCTACATCACTATCACAACCAGATAATCAAGAAGCCATTGACCAACAAGAAAAAGATATGGCAGAACAAAGAATTGCTGATTTAGTAGCAGCTATTACACTATTAGTAACAGCTATGAATATTGATCGAGCAATACCACCAGAATAAAAGAATGTTCCACTTCCAACATTCTATGATAATGGAACTAATGATCCAGTTACCTGGTTTGAAGAGTTTGATAGAAGTGCCAATGCTAATAATATTTAACCAGCAAGAAAACTACAAGCTGTATCTGCTTATCTAAAAGGTATAGCTGGACACTGGTATGAACAATATAAAGCTGCTCATAATAATTGGCCTAGAAATTAGTATAAATACTAAAAAAATAAATAAAAAATTATACAAATTTATTAACAAGAAAATACAAAAGAAAATTTAGTTGTAATTTTAGTGATTAAAGATAAAAAAGCAAGAGTTTAAGTAAAAAGAAGTATTATAAAAAAATAATAGTATGAATATGAGTATAGATAATTATAATAAAAAAATTAAGAGATAAAAGAATAATTATAACAAAAGTGAAAAATAAAATATAAAAATGATTGATTAAAAATATGAAATAAAAATAAAAATAAGTATAATAAAAGTATAAATAAGATAAACCAATAATAAAAATATAAATTTTATAGTGAAAAATATAAAATAAATAAATATAATGAAACAATAAAAGAAAATAAAACAAAAAGTATATAAAAATATAATTATTATTTAGATATTATGATTTAGATATCAAAAAAATAATAATATATATTAAATATAATTGTATAATAGAATACAATATAAAAATAAAGGAACAAATTAATTTAATCTTTATTAAGTTATATAATGTTACATTAATTTTCTTTGTAATATATCTTAATTAATTATAAAATTTTTGATGAGAATAATAACATTATTTTCATAAAGAAAAACTCAATATTGTTATTAAACAAGACTATATATCAGAAATCAATAATAAATAATTAATAGAAAAAGTTAATACTACTCTAATATCAATATTAACCAGATCAGAAACAAGAACTTTAAATAAAATTAAGAATACAATAAATGAATTTGAATGTATATCTTGTTCATTAAGCTTGATATCTAATACTAATACTCTAGCTAATTATTTTGCTATGCTAAATATTAAATATTACACTCAAAATGCTGTTTATTTTGAAATAAATAAATCTAATAGCAGTATATCTAGCTTTAAGACAATATGCTGAAGCATATAATATTGTAAAAAGATGTGTTAACACTATCAATATCAAATAAAAGATTTATATAGTATTAAGAATATATTTTTATTTTCAACAAAATCCTGATTATATCTTATTGAAGAACTTTAATCAATACTTCAAGTTAAATATTATTGAATAATGAAAATATTAATTATTATTGGACTATATTTATTAATATTTTTATTGAATAGTTATTTTTAATTAGTTATTATTTTATTAAACAATTATATCTTAAATATTCATATCAATTAAATTAGTAACAATAATAATAAAACTAATTATATTGTATAACATATAATTTATATAAATATATTATATATCTTAACTTAAGTTAAAGTAGTTAACAATTCAAGAAGTCTCTTGTTTGATAGAAACTTCAGATAACTTGTAAAGTTATATTTGTATTGGTTTTTTGTTTTAAAAGATAGATTACTTATAATAAATCATTATTATTGATTTAAAAACAATTACTTAATAAACTTATTATTTGTATCATAACTTTTGAAATTTTAAAATAGACATATAAAACTTAGTGAATTTATTGAATATTATTCTAGCTTGTCACAACACAAATATATATTACCTATCTTTAGTAATAATTTTTAGTCTCTTTTATTATAAAAACTTGGTTTTTCTTATCTTTAAATTAGTAAAAACATATGAATAATGTGTAAATAACTTAAAGCATATAAAACAGTAACAATATAAAATTTATTGTGACTATTAATTTGGACTGGCAATCAAGCATTCCATCTGAGATACTACAGTTAATGACTGACAAAACCTGGCACAAATTTCATACATGTTATTGGTAATTATTGTGACATCATCAAAAAATTATCACATGATCTGCACTTTAGGGATAGAATTCATAATTGTCACTTTTTTTATAATTATTATTATTCAGTAATAATAAGTTTATTATACAAAAAAGATCTGTTTATGCAAATAAATAAATATATAATTTTGGGATCATGATAATATTTTTATACTATTTTGCACGTGAGAAATAATCACAATAGAAAAAATTTTCGCGCTAATATTTCATCGAGAATACAGAAAATACACGAGAATTTGGATGTGGGATGGATGATAAATGTGCAATAAAGAATAAGTAAAATACTCGTTTGATTGATTAATACAAATCTCGGTTTTTTAACACTTTTTTAAAAATACAAACATAATGATAAAATGAAACAAATAAATAATGAATATATATATATATTATTCCCTTTTCCCCCCATTAATCATCAGATTCTTTCGAGTCCCTAAGTCTCCGCAATACTAAATCCATCGGACTGCTTCCGCCTCGATTACTATCGTCAGTTCGTGGATTTACTAATGGACTAGTACCATCATCATTACCTCCAATACTAGAACCTTCAACACCACTAAGCTCTTCAATTGGCAACGTATCTATTGTTGAATCGCGAGCTGACTGTTTCGATAATTCATAGTCACCATTGTCACTTCCTTCAAATACCGAGTAAACACTTCCATTCGATTCATCTTCTTCAGTTGTTCGTTGTTGTGGTATTTGTTGTGTTTGAAGTGGTGTTAATGATTCTGATAACGATGTTGGCATTCTCGTTATTTGATCATCGATATTACTGGTATTAGTTGTGGTGGTGGTACCGGCATTAATAGTATTACTTGCATTTCCACTGTCACCGCCAGCAACACCTCCTAAAATGGAATTACTAGTGAGATCGACAACACTATCACCAAATTCGCTGTGTCCAGCTGGATCTGGATTTAACACTACTAATTTACCACGCCCTCGTGACTCCTGTACTGCTCTTTCTAGTTCACTATCCGTTATTGAAGCCGTAGTTCTGCCAGTTCCTGTTCTTTTTACCCAGAAAGAGGGTGCATCATTTGATCCTTTTTTCTTTTTGTTCTTTTTAAAGAATTTTTTCACACCAGAAACTAAGAATCCTCCAAAATTGTTCGATGGTTCTTCATTATTTGTACTTGCGCTTGACGATGTTCCATCATCATCATCATAGTCATAATTATGTTCTTTTCGTTTATTTTTTGAATTTCGTGCTATTTCCATTGGATTTATTGGTCCTTTATAAACCCCGAATGCACCTGATTCACTACTACGCCTACTTTCTGTTGTGCTTCCCCGAAATCTTTGTGGCGGGTCTGCTGGTGACGGTGTCATTCCTGCTCTTGATTGATCAGTATAATTACTATTAATGCTATTATTAGTTCTTGGCCCCGAACCAGCGGAATCATGTCTTGCATGGAGAAATCGATCATTATCACTATTATTATTATTATTTTTCAGAATTCCTTGCTGTTGTAATTCTCTCGTGTATGATATTGAATTGTTTATGTTATTGTCTCCGGGTATTTTTGATGATGATGGATTTATGAACGCTGATGAAGGTTGTTGAATTGAATCACTATTATTAAAGTAAGGGTTTGTTGCATCACGATATGCTAATGAAATATTAGGATCTGATGTTGATACTGCTGTATTTGAAATCGCTGTTGGTGTCTGTGCTGTGTATCCTCTTTCTTCGAATCCGAATGGAGAACCAACACTTCCTTGAGTTCTTGCAGCATTTATATTTCGAATTATTGTTGCTCTTGATGATGGCTGTCGATATTGATCTCCCCCGACTGCATAATTTGACATTGATGGTCCATTTGGATCAACATATGGTATTCCTGTGAGTGTTCCACTGCTTTCTTCGGTATAAGTTTCATATTCATCAGTTCCACTTGGAAAACTATCATGTCTTACAGCTCCGGCGCCTCCGTTTGCTGCATTGTCATAATTTCCATTCATTGGCATTGAAGCAGGTGGTATATATGATCCACGATAAGTCTTCAATTGTGTTCCACTATTTCTTGATTCTTTCTCAATTTCACCATCATGTTCAGGATAATAATTATTATTATAAAATCCCATTCGTAATTTTAATTGTCTTATTCCTCCTGCTGCTCCGATACTATTTCGTATTGTACTACTCCTATTGTTATTACTGTTATGATTGCTATCGAGTGATGGATCACTCTCAGCACACCATCGGAACATCAACTCCAACAAATTTCTTATCGTGAAAAGAGTTAAGATGAGGTACGCGAGACCATGAAAGAATATAATGATATACCCGACAATTTGTCGACCCACTTCGCTAATCTCCAATGAACTTATAAAGAACAACAAGAATCCCGAGATAACTGTTCGAATAATCCCGAGCGCAATATTAATTAGATTGATTCGAGTTCCTTCCAAGAAGGGAAACCTTGAAATCACAATTATTAATAGTAAAAGTTCAAGTATCACCAATACAATCGTTTGCGTTAATCCACTTTCTTGTCCTGCACCAACGATCACTCCACGCATGAAATTATAAGTTAAAAAGATTATGAAAAACATTAGTCCGCGTTCTTTGAGAGTGTTGTAAAGCGGTCCGTATTTCAGTCGATATGACATGTCATTCAATAGATACATATGTGGTGAGACTCGATATATAAGGACTGTGATGACAATGGGCAAGACGATACACAGTACGATAATTACCACCGCTATCGATACAACATACCAAGGATTATATTCGTGAATGATAACTTGATAGAACGCAGTCGATAATATTGGAAAATAAAATAAAAAAAAGAATCGTAGCATATTTCCTGATAAAAGAAAAAACAATTGAACTTAGAAATTATCGTCTTATTACTTGAATCATTAAAAAAATAATCATGCCTACCCAATAGAAACGACAATCCCTCATTTGATCCATCAATAAATTTATTTTTATTTTTCACTGATCTCCAAGTACCCCATATAATGGCAGATATTAATGCCACTATGGCAATAATAATCAATGCAAGTATTATAGTCTCGAGAAAAATATCTTGAGGTGCAATGCCAACCATTACCGCGTAATTTCCCATTCCTTTAAATTTTTCCAATACTAACGAAGTGTTATCGTAAACCATAAAATTATCGGGAAGATATGAATTATAAATAGCAGATGATGATGAACTATCGGCGGTTGAGGTGGGAGTAGTTGTTCTAGTTGACGTAACTGTTATCGTAGGGTTACAATATAAAGGTCCTGTCCCACAAAATCCAGCCGAGCTTTAAAAAACAAATTAATTTTTTTTAAACAAAACAAAATCATTAATGATTTCAATGCTAGGGCAAATTTTACCCACCTGCAACATTGATCAGAAGGACAAGGATTCGAAGAAGAACATTGAACACTTCCTCCTTCTTGCCTTTTTTTGGGGATTATATTTCTTTTTTGATTCATAGAAGTAGGAATTGCCATGATGGTATGACTTGCATTAGCAGAATGAGACAATAAATCATTATCGACAATTGCTGACTCGGCATTGTCATCAAGAAATGGTCTGTTACCACCAGAAAAATCGATTAAAGTTGAATGATTAAATACAAGACTCGCCCATCCAAAGTGACTCATAAAAGGTTGATAATAACCCGGATAATTTAATCCTAATTCAGCTGTCGAGACGGCAAATTGTGTGTAAAATATCACATCAAATACCGTCGGAGTCCTCAATCGATATCCTTGCGTATCCAGTCCATAATAACTGGAGATTTCGAAAATATTTGTGGAAAATTTTGTTGGATTGAAAAAACTGCCAAGAACATTCACGAATAAAGTGAATGCAGTAATTGCTACCGGTATATAAGTGAAAATGTTCCTGTAATATTTATATTGTGGACTGATGTTGAATGTTAGGCACGTCACTTGTTTGGTACTTTCATCCAGACCTTTGAAAGTTGTGGTCAGCGTTGATAACGGTATTGATCGACCAAGTTTAATCGACTATGAAATAATTTGTTAAATTTAATGAATGCATTTCTACTGTTATCGGACATTTACAAAACAACAATTACCTTTCTAATGACAACAAGACCTGGACCAAAGGGACAATTACCATCGATAAAACTACATAAATTATCTTTGACATTATTTATATTTGTATTCAACACACTAGTCGTGAGAAATGCAGTCGCTATAAATATACGTAATGAAAATTAGAATTAAATTATTTTACTTCAATTAATATAATTACGAGAATCTTCCCTACCATTATACTGTGGATTAAAACCAGCTATTCGTGTTGACGAGTATCCCGTTATAGTAAAATTCAAAGTATTTGACGACTGATCAAACACAGAGTCCACTTTCGAAACATTGTATGTCGCTTCAGAATTCGCGCATGAATCAAAAGGCACCAATGTACCACTTGTGAAAATGGGAGATATTGCCAACACAAACACTGCTAGCAGAACAATTAATACGTTCAGTTTACGCATTTAACAATGTTTTTTTGAATTGAATGTCCGAGAGAAACCAATTTATTATTACTCTTGTGCGTTTATTATTGTTAATCTGAGCGGAGATTTCTTCGATGCAAATGAACAAGAACGCGAAACTTTTAGATTCGCGCTTTTTATATCAAATTTGGAAAAGAGCGCTTTTTTGTCGTTTGTACCCAGTCAAACATACACACTCAACTATTTCCACACTTGTAAAAATTAAGAAAAAAAATACTACTACAATTACTACTTTTTGTTGGTCATTGAGAAGAGAAACCGATAAATTAATAATCAAACAAACAAATAAGAATAAAAAGAGGTCGGTAGGTTGTGGTGGACGTAGTCGCCGAGGTCGTTATCACCTATCAAAAAAACGCACTTTGTAAAGGAGTATCTCGAAAATCAAGTTTGGCAAGAGTTAATATAATAAATTACATACTACGTATTTCAACAACTATCGAAATTTGCTGCAGGGTGACAACACAAATACTCATTAGGAGGGAGGAGGACGATAGAAAATGTTTGAGAAAAGAAAGGTGTCAGACAAACACAGCCTAATTTAATTTTTTTTTAGATAATGTAACCTTTGATCATAAATATAGGAACAATAATAGAGTACTACATGCACCTCGTGACCCTTTCTATATTTAGTTTTATATATAATTTTTTTTGTCAAACCAGTTACGGAAGTAGCTGCCATATTAAGATTCTTACGCGTTTACTTTTAATTAAGGATCTCTTCACGAAAGTGAGATGGACAACCCGCGATTCGTGAATAACTGACTATCTTCAAACTTTCTAGTACGTACGTATCCCGATTTTTTTTTCACCATATATATGTTGTACATGGAATTTATATAGAATTTGTATGGATTTAGAATCCTTTGGCCAACACTATCTCCCAGAACTAACCCTTACCCTAACACTAGTTCTAACTTGGGCCAATTCCGAATCCATATAGATCTCGTATCTATGTACAATATATACATGATCGATCATCAAGTTTCTCGCGTTTCTTCGCTTCGCGTGGTTTGATTCGCACTAGATAAATGCCTATTAATAGAATATATTACATTTTTTTATTTTCCATCATAAAGAACACGATACAAAGAGTCGGCCTCTTTCAGAAAAAGACCCGGGACAAATAGCCATCCCAAGTATTTAATTATTATTTATGACCGTAAAATTTTATTAATTTTAATGGACTGTTTCCATTATCATAGTCAAGGGTATGAAATTTTGGTATTCGAACAATGAAAATTTTCCGATCGAAAAGTTAGTAACATGATTGTATTATTTCAAGTCGGCTATTTGACTATCATGGAAAAGAAACGAACCAATTTAAATAAAGAAGCTTTGTCGGATGCTTATACAGAATTCAAAGAGGGTGATGATTTAGGTTGAGGTTATGTAGTTTTTAATTCATATGGTAATTTGTTACCATTTATGATATCTAGGTGGGAAAAAAAATGCATTTCATTTATAGCATATGAATGATTTAATGATGAAATAAGTGAAGAGATGGCTCGTATGGCAATTAATCAAATATTTCAATTAGTTAAGAATGTATATGCTGTTGGATATATATAATTCAAGAAATCTTATTCGTCTTGCAAGAATGAAGTGAGTGGCAGCAATTTGGTCAATAAAATATTTTTAAGTAACTAAATAAAGATCATTTACAGAGACTAATCGAGATAAAGAATGATCATTATAATTATAGCAAAAGACTAGGATTTTTCTTGTTTCAATATAGCTAATAACTTGCTATATATTTTGTTTTTTGGATAAGCGTCTTGGTGATTTTAAAAATAATCTAGCAAATGATTTAAATGTTTCTTAAATAGATTTTAAACTGTATAAATACATTATGTATTCTAATATAAAAAGAAGACAGGTTATTTTCCTTTTTGTTCTTTTAATTCTTTTTGGATATTTCTTTTATTGTTAATAATTCAAATAATATTCTTTGTTTGTTTTTATTTGATTTGATTTATAATTGATTAAATTTCTTTGTTTTATTTTTTAGTTAATAAATTTATATTTGTATTATAATTATTTATAATCAATTATTATAATATCACAAGTTTTTATTATTAACAATCAATTATTATTTAGTTATGTAATTTATAAATTATTATTGTTAAATATATTTTATTAGTTCAGTTTTCAGTCTTTAAAAGTGAATACAATTAAATAATCTTATAAAAAAAATGTATCATTTACAAAATTCACTATTAAAAATTTTATGTTTATTAAAAATATAAAAATTTTATTAATAAAATATGTATTTTTTTCTTTATATAAAAGTTTTCAACTTATTAATCAAGCTTTTTTATTTTTATACAAAAATACAAATAATAATATATATTTTAATATTTTTTTTTGATTGCAAAGTAAATTAATTAATTTTTTATAATTAATCTATAAAATATTAATTAGCTTATCTTGTAATTAGAAAAACTTTTTCAAATTAAATCAAAAAAATCTGATTAATAAAATCTAAAGCTTTTGTAATAGATCAAATTTAAAGCTATTTAATATTTTAAATTATATTAACTCTATTATAATATATAAATACAAAAAATATATATATTATTAAATAACTTAATATAATATATTTTTTATAGAATTTATAATATTTATTAAATAGTTAAACTTTTTAAAATATATATATATATTAATATTTAGTATTTTATATATTTTTTTATTAAATATTTATTATATAAGATAAGTAAGGGTATTATGACGAAATAGCGATATCTCAATCTCCAATAATCAGAATCACATAAAAATGTTACCATTTGATTCACTGCAATGAGACGAATCGAATGGTAATATTTTTGTGTGATCCTGATCACTGGAGATCGAGATATTGCAACTGAAAGTTACCATACACAAGAAAAATAAAATTTCAGGTGACGATCCATGTTCAGTGAATTTTGGAGGTGATATCTCGATTCCTAGTGATCAGAATCCCACGAAAATATCATCATTCGATTCGTCTTGTTGCGACAAATCTAATGGTGACATTTCATGGAATTCTGATCACTAGGAATTGAGATATCATATATTTTTACTTTAATGTCATCATATTTTTTACTAGGTTTATGTAGTATTGTATAATAATCTTTCATCATAATATTTTATTATTGGATTATACATATTCCATATCTTATTGGATAAAGATCAAATCACGTGAAGTGAGCGAACAAGCGAACGAGCGAACGAACGAATAACTAAATGAATGAGCGAATGAATATTTAACCAATAGAATTTAAGTAATATAGCGAACATGAATTCATATAGCCTAGAAATTATATCTTGGATTTGTATAAAAGCAACATGTATCGTAGTTGTTAGAATTAGA